TTATTTTTGTTTATAAGCCATTATGCTCAAGCTCACACACTCTTTTATGCTGCTGGTACTAGTTGACAATTATGGTGGGTTTCAGAGGGGTGAGAGAGTTGAAGCACAAAGTTCAACCTAAAAGAAGATATGGGACACATCTCAGATCTGTTGGTTGGCTTTAGGGAAAATGGGCACCTGTTCAAAGTCTGACTTTTTTTTTTTTTGCGGTACGTGGGCCTCTCACTGTTGTGGCCTCTCCCGTTGTGAAGCACAGGCTCCGGACACGCAGCCTCAGCGGCCATGGCTCACGGGCCTAGCCACTCCGCGGCATGTGGGATCTTCCTGGACCGGGGCACGAACCCACGTACCCTGCATCGGCAGGCGGACTCTCAACCACTGCACCACCAGGGAAGCCTAGTCTGACATTTTTTTAGTACAAAAAAGACATATTTATGAAATTCCACATACCATGCATCTGCAATCTTCAAGGTTACCAATTGATAGGCAAGTAGTAGTTATTTTTAAGAAAGAAATATGTTTAGTTTGGGATGCTACAACAAAATACCATAGATTGAGTCGTGTATAAACAATAGAAATTTCTCACAGTTCTGGAGGCTGGAAGTCCAATATCAGAGTGCCAGCATGGTTGGGTTCTGGAGCGTGCCCTCTTCCAGCTTATAGACTGCTGATTTCTTGCTGTATCCTAACATGATGGAAAGAGGGCTAGAGAGCTCTCTGGGGTCCCTTCCATGAGGGCACTAAAACCATTCATGAGGGTTCTACCCTCATGATCTATTCGCTTCCCAAAGGCTCCACCTCCTGGCACCATCACTTTGGGGACAGGCTTTTAACATGAATTTGGGGGAGATACAAACGTTCAGTCTGTTGCATTCCATCCCCTGCTCCATAAAATTCCTGTCCTTCTCACATGTAAAATATATTAATTCCATCCCAACAGCCCTACAAGTCAACTCATTCCAGTATCAACTTTTAGGTCTAGAGTCCAAAATTTCATCTAAATATCTAAATCAAATATGGGTGAGACTCAAGGTACAAATTATACTGAAGCAAAATTCCTCTCTAGCTGTGAACTTGTGAAAACAAACAACTTATGTGCTTCCAAAATACAATGATGGGACCTGCATAAGATAGACATTCCCACTCCAAAAAGAAAGAAGGAAGGAGCGATAGGTCCCAAGCAAGCCCAAAATCTAGCAAGGCAAGTTCCATATGATCTTAAGTCTTGAGAATAATGCTCTTTGGCTTGATGCTCTGCTTTCTAGACCCACTGTGGCAGCAGTCTAGCCTTCTGGACCCACTGCAGTAGCAACATCACCCCCACAGTTTGGTGGAGGGCTGCCCACACTGTGGCTCTCTGCAGTGGCCCCACACATTTTGGTTCTCTGTCTGGAAGAGGCATGGGGAGAGAGGTTTGTGTGTATCCTCAGGATTCTGCAGAGTGGCCGTACCCCTACACCTGGGGTGGGAGTGGCAGCCCTGATGATCTCTGAATCACCTTCAGGGTCCTTCTTCCCTTGTTTTGAAGAAGAATAGTGCAGGTTCACATTGCTCTGTGGTCTGGTCCTATAGGATTTAATAAGTTTTCCTTCATTTTGTCTTGTTTTCTGTTTCCTTTAGTCCTAGCTGGCAGTGTTTCTGTTGGTATAATCCCATCTCTATTCCTAGCTTTTGTTGAGATAGTTGATTAAATCCATGGTTCACACCCACATTAATCTCCTTATCAAATGGTACCTCTACCATACCTTTAGTGCTTTCTTCCAAATACACGTTCTCATTTTTTGTAATATGGATGAATCTTTAAGGTCTGGTTCCTTTCTGCTTAGAAATTTCACCTTCCCTTCATTTCTCTCCTCTGACATTTTAGTATAAGCAGTCAGGGTAAACCAAGCCACTCCTTTAACACTTGTTTAGAAACCACATTAGCCAAATATCCAATTTCATTGCTTGCAAGTTTCACCTTCCAAAAAAACACTAGAACACAAACAGTGCAGCCTAATTATTTGCCTCTCTATAACAAGGATAGCCTTTCTCCATTGTCCCATAACAAGCTCCTCCTCTCTGTCTGAGACCTCCTCAAAATGGACTCTACCATCTATATTTCTACCAATATTCTGTCCATGATTACTCAGGTATTCTCCAAGAAGACTGAAGCTTTCTCTACCACTCTTTCTTCTTTCAGAGCTCTTGCCAGCATCACCTTTAAAATTCCATTCACAGCAATCTAGGCTTTCTCTGTCATGCACCTCAAAATTCTTTCAGCTTCTGCCCATTACCCAGTTCCAAAGCTACTTCCACATTTTTAGGTATTTGTTATAGCAGCACCCCGGACTTCTCAGTACCAATTCGTGTTTAACTGAGTTCAGGATGCTATAGCAAAATACCGTATACTGTGTGGCTTATAAACAACAGAAATTTATTTTGCACAGTTCTGGAGGCTAGAAGTCTGATATCAAGGTCAGGTTCTCCTGAGAGCTCTCTTCCAGGTTGCAGACTTCCAACTTCTCACTGTATCTTCACATGATGGAAAGACAGTGAGAGAGCTTTCTGGAGTCTCTTTTATAAGGGTACTAATCCCATCCATGAGGGCTCCACCTTCATGACCTAATTACCTCCCAAAGGCCCCACCTCCTAATACCGTCACATTGGAGGTTAGAATTTCAACATATGAATTTGTGGAAGACACAAAAACATTCAGCCCATTGCAAGGTACAAAGTAACCAAACCTTATATTAATAATAATGATTAAAATAATAATAACAATAATAATAATAATAATAATAATGATTAAATAGCTAACATTTATTTAGGCACCGTGCACACGTGGCATTGATCACCTCATCCCCATATTACAGATGAGAAATGTAACACTCAGAAAGGTGAAGTCACTTGCCAAGATTACACAGCTAATAAGTTGAAAAGCTAGAGTTCAAACTTGGACTATCTGACTCTCACAATATTAACTTTTAAATAAGCCATGCCCTTAGACCAAGATAGATTTGCAGAAGTAGAATGAAGTGGAGTGAATAAAGAAATAATCCAAATGCAAATGTCTGCCTCACTAGTTACACTGCCACATTTATCCAAAACATTAGTCATCAACCTCATAAAAATACTCATTGCAGTATGATTTATAAACATGAAAAATTGGAAATAAGCTAAATTTCTAACAACAGTTGAAGAGTATATAAAGTATAGCTCCTATAATAATGAAACTCAAATGCATCCATTACTCATTCATTCAACAAACATGTATTGAGCATCTACTATATGCTAGGTACTCCTCTACATGCTAGGGAAATAGTAATGAACAAAACAATGTCCTTGCCCCATGCAATGAAGCTTATGAAAATTTTAAAATGACATGAGAAAATACTTGATGAAATGTCAGGTTAAAGTTAGATAAAATTATGTATTTAGTATGAACTAAATTACACATACACAAAACAGATACATGTACAAAAGAGAGTTAAAAGACAATATGCCAATACATCCAATACATTGCTTCTGTGCTGAAATATCTTATTATTACAGGTAACTTTATACTTTTATATATTATTCATATTTACTGCAAAGAGCATTTAATATAATAATAATACATTTTATATTTCAGTTCTTGGGCTCATAAATATAATTGTTTTGGTGACATTAGATCTTTCACACTATCTCTGTGCTCTCATCTAGCAAATGCTTTACACTAACTCTTTAATGTGGTACTCCAAGGACAATGGTGCTTCAAGGACAAAGGACAACCCTGCCTGAAAAAGTTTCAGCGTTACACCCCCTACCCGACTCTTAGTCTCCCTCCCCACCATGTCAGAATGGTTACAAAATTCCTGAGCCCACCTGGGCAACGCCCACCTGGGCAACTGGACCTGTCCCAAATAAGGAAAGGCATATGCCCTGCCCCACTCCCACCCTATAGAAGGAAGGTATATGTGTCTCGACCAATAAGTAAACGAAATTTTCACCTCAGACCATTCCTTTGTTTTCTGGCTATAAAAACTGATCAATAGCACATGTTCCGGCTCCACTCTCCCAGACTACTAGGAAGTCGGCCTGCGTTCTGGCAGCGACCTTTCCCTCTAATAAATTCTACCTTCTTTATATTCTGCCTTGTGTCTGGAAATTCTTTTCCAACGCACGTTCGGACCACGACAATTAACTCAGTGGTTACCAAACTTTTTTTTTCAATGGCCAGAGGGCAAATATTTGAGGCTTTGAAAGTCATGCAGTCTCTGCCACTACTACTCAATGCTGCCGCTGTACTACAAAATCACCCACAGACAATATTTAACTGTGTTCCAGTTAAGTCTGTGTTCCAACAAAACTTTATTTACAAAAAAATGTGGCAGAGAAGATTGGCCCAAGGGCCATAATTAACTTCATAACAAACACAAAGTTCTTACTTCCACTGTTCAATCTCCTAATTGTAACATCCTTGAGAGATAAATATTAACCACATTTTACAGAGGACAAGACTAAGGCTCAGAAAGAGGAAATATCTTGTCCAAAATCATGCAGCTCACAAAGCAAGTTATTAAGTTCAGCTTCCAAAGAGAGATGCCAAATCTCCTGTTGCCTTAAAAGCTGTACACATATAAATGCTAATTTTAAACTTTCTCGGGGAATTTGTTCCTTAGAAGAACCTTACTCTAAATTATTTTGCGAAAAAAAACAAAAAAAAATCACTCTTTATCCTTCACAAAAACATCTATTTTCGTGTGTTAGATTCTTTAAAGAAAAATTCCCCTGCAGACAGAGTCAAAGACCTCAGTGGAAGTTGAAGGGATATCTTTTGATGACTTTTGTGTGAGTAGGAAATGGGACTATGAGGGAATGTTTCTTTATGTTTCTTAAGCAGCCTCCCAGGAGCTTGGCATAACAGGGGACAACAGGGATTAAAGATGCCCAAGTTTTCTATACCCACAGACCAAGGAGGCTGCTTTTTCTCAGACCTGCTATGAGAGGGACATGGCCATATGTAGCTGAAGACTTACCAATGTTAATCTCATCATCAGTCAGAGTGTCTCCAATGAAATCAAACTGAAAGGACTGCAACGTTTGGGAAAATTTCTGAACAGCAGAGGAGTAATCTGTAAAGGGAGGGAAACAGGAGAAATGGTCAATACTGCTGCCTTTTGTCTGATTTCCTCATCTCTGTTAGAGCAGACAGGAGAAAAACAAAGGGAAGTGCTCCTAGCAGGTAGCAAATTGCATTGCAAGATGTTAAACCAAAGACCAGACCTTCAGTAGAAAATTTGAGCAACTAAAACCACACATCAAAGATGAAGTAGGGCAGCTTAGTGAAGTCCTTCGTTTAAGTCGTGGTACATGTTTTATATTCAATCCCTGTCCTATATGACCTGTTCTACCCAAAGCCTGTAAGACCTAAAGCTACTTAGTTGTACTCCTAAGAGAGTCTCCTTAAGCTTTATTGAGTGCCCATTATGGACAATGGACTAGATGTTTTCTTAACTCTACCAAACAAATATCCACAATCATTGTTCAAAGAAAAAAATAGCTCCAGGTTCCAGAGCTATCTGGAAGAGCTGTAACTAGAAGCCCGGTGGTCTGTCTGCATCTCTAGGGCATTTCCCATGACAACATATGTAGTAACAGCTGGACATTTTACACATTAACCAGATGGCAGCCTGGGTTAAGATACTATCTGGCAGAGGAACAAATTTAACTTGCTCACAGGGTATGCACTAAGGGACATAAAACAAGGAGATAATTGATGAAAAATTGAGGGTGGTATGGCCAGACAGATGTTTTTATTTTTGGTCAATGATTTTGAATTTTATTACACAAAAGGTTAATGATGATATAAAATTAAATCACAATTAGCTACCCTTTTGACAAATTATCCTTATTGAAATTTTTAAAATGACATTCACCGGTATATCCAGCCAAACCTCCAATCTTGGTATGCCAAGAGTGGTTCTCAGGCCAGCAGTATCATCATCACCTGGGAGCTTGATAGAAATACACATTCCCAGGTCACACCCCAGACCTACAAAATCAGAAACTGCATTTTTATATAATCCCTAGGGGATTCATATGCTCTTTAGAGTTTGAGGAGCACTGCTCTCACCAACTAAAGTAACACATTAAGACCATATTCTACGAAAGATCAAGCTTCTTGGTAATTTTTGGTCCCCTTTTCCTATTTCTTCTTTCACTCCCTAGCTTCATCATCCTCCACCTTCATATCTGTCAGATATACAAGCTACTGAAAGTTTCTGCTCTTACCCTAACAGAAAGGGAGACAATGCAAACAACAGTCCTTTCAATGAAAAGTTATCATGGTTAGGCTATCATGGTTAAACACAATAAAACATGCTTAGGCATTTGTCTGGAGCAGATAAACATGCCAAGAATTTTATTACCTTCTTGCCTATGCCCAATTTTCAGAAGTACTTATTTTTAGTATTTAGATCCTTGACCCTCTGAACACATAATTGGCAATAATAACAGCAATAACAATAATAATAATACTTTACAGAGATTGGAGACTGCAGATCAGGTTACCATTCGTTTTCAAATTTCCACATTTTAGAATCACATTTTCCACTTCAAATCAGGCCATATAAATGTGAGAGGAGCATGCACACCCTGCCTTCCACATTTCATCAGTAAAGAGAACACAAAACTGCCTCCATATCTGGAAGACTTTTCTCTGGCCTCTTTGGCCAGCAGCAAAAAAAAAGCAAGGCCAGAGTTTCCCATGTGCTCTATTTTACTCAGGGAAATTAAATATAATATTCATTGTACTGTCCTTTCACAAATACCAGGATTTTGTAAATTGAGCTGAGCAAGGTACAGTTATAAATCACTCCTCATTTAGAATTATATGAACATTTTAGAAACCACAAATATTATGATTTTCAACATTTATAGTATTTTGTAAGTAAAGGCATGGAGTGAGAAAGGAGTTATATTCATTCCCTTTCTCATTATTTGCACCAACACACTTCTCCAGATTTCTTGGACTTCAAAACACTACCTTACATCTGCACAGAGCCTGAAAATGTTTATGAAGGACTTTGCACAAACACTTTTCATTTACTCTTCCCAAGTACCTAAAGGTAGGTATTACTATCCTCACCTTATAAACAAACCCAAAAAATGAGACCATGAAGCAAATCACATGCACGAAAATACAAACATAAATTAACAGCTCTTCATGGAAAGAAGGTCTCATTTATTTGGCCTCTGTACTGAGGGAAATGCCAGGAAAGACATATATTTTAGATTAATGTGTTGGATGACTTCTTGACTACAAAGAATCAACAGATAACCTAGAAATGCTTATCATGGATGGGACATTTATTTCTTTATCATCCTAAAATTCGCTGCACCACTCCAAACCATGTAAATTCATCCTTATATCCTCCCTGATACTGCCCCACCCCCACCCACAAAGCCACTATCTCATAATTTTTCAAGCTACCTTTGTCAGTTCTCCCTCAATCACCTTCTTATTTATTCATGTGTCTTCTATGATGTTTTTCCCTCATCTTTTCCTAGCTCATTTTAGAATGTAGTTGGATAGTGCCTTTTAGGCAATTGAAGCTTCCAGGGAATGAGGCAGAATATAAACGGGATCGATTAGTTAACTAATTCATATTATATAGATCCCAATTTGGTTTCTATCACTATAGTTTTCTACAGAATCATACGGAATATCCTCTTTTATTTCCAACTTATTTAAGTCTGCAGGATGTCTTGGTAATTCATGAATCAGTAATTCATTCTTTTTGTTGCTAAGTAGTATCCTATTGTGTAAATATACCACAATTCATTCATTCACCTATTCAGGGACTTTTGTGATGTTTCTAGCTTTTCACTGTTATGAATAAAAACTGCTATAAACATTCATGTAGAATTCTTTCTGAGACATATGTTTTCACTTCTCCCAAGGAGTGCACCCTAGGAGCTCAATGAATGTGTTTTACGGTTAGTTGGTAAATGTATATTAAACTATATAAGAAAAGGTTAAACTGCCTTCCAAAGCCACTGTACCATTTTGTATTCTTATCAACAATGTATGAGAATTTCACTTGATCCACATACTTTCCAGCATCTGGTTATTTACTTCTTGATTTTAATTTTAGCCATTCTAATGGGTGTGTAGTAGTATTTCACTATAGTTTTAATTTGCATTTTCCTGATGACTAATGGTGCTGAGTATCTATCTTATCGTGTACTTATTGGACATTTGTAATAATTTTTCTTATAAAGGATCTGTTCAAATTTTTGCTTGTTTTTGATTGAGTTGTTTATTTTCTTATTATTGAGCTATAACATTTCTTTATATATTCTGGATCCAAGTATTTTGTCTCATATATA